TTATGCACATTCTGAATATTTTCTGAAAAATTTTCACCCGATATTCTGAAATCTTAGGGGTTTTTAATGAATAAAAAATTTTTGGGATGTTAAAAAATAGTGCAATAATTGAATAAAAGTCTTAAAACATTGTTCTACACAATCGCTGATAATCTGGTATTTTTTTGAAACTGTGCATTTTTGCCTCGTTGGATTTTCTGTTGTTTGTGATGATATATGTGTACATGTGATTAAATGATATATGTTGGGAGTTATAAGGGGTCATAATCCTTTGAGATTTTGTATGTGTCAGGAAATTTCTGGGAGTTATAAGGGGCTAGAATTCTTTAAGATTCTATCTGTTTCATAGAATTTCTGGGAGTCATAAGAGGCCAGAATCCTTTGAGATTCTGTTTGGGGCTGAGAAATGTGATTTGAACAATTTTATGTATCTGATATGTTCTGGTTTTATAAGCACACATAAAAAGGGAGTCATAAGGGACCAGAATCCTTTGAGTTTCTATTTGGGTCCGAAAAATATAATCTGAACAATTCTGTGCATCTGATATATTCTGGTGCTGTAAGCACAAATAAAAAGGGAGTCATAAGGGGCCAGAATCCTGTGAGATTTTATTTAGGTCCGGGAAATGTGATCTGAACAACTCTGCGATATGAATTTTCATTTGCTCATTTATCCTATACTATTATCATATTCATCCATTTTGTACGATTCATCTGTTCTATACAATTATCTGAGTCATCGAATATTTGCTATGTATTTATTTCATTTTTTTTTTTGTGATTCTCAGTTCAGTGAATTATTTAAACTGTAATTAACTGCTTTTAAACCTTCAATAATATAGTTGAAATAAAAGAATATTTGAATATTTCGATTGGCTCATGTGACTTGTATAGCTCACTGTGATTTTACTCATAGTTTTCAGGATCTTGTAAAGGGAAAGAGGTTATGGACTAGCTGTTCAGGATCAGATATGAGGTTATAGGTATTTTGTTATTTGATTTTTGTACAATCATGACTAGTTCACTTTTCAGTTTTGTAACTCTGTCTGTAGCTATGTATTGTAGTGTATATAATTATTTTGACGAATGAAAGAAATTTTATGGATGAGTTTTTCAGTATTTGGATGTTTTAGTAGTTATGTGGTTCTTTATTATTTTAATGAATATCAGAAGAAAATCTGAAATAATTCTAAAACTAGATCTCGGGGTTTGCCTGTCACCGCTCAACACGATAAGACCTGTCCTGATTGGATTGGGTTGTGACATACACAATGTGTTAAATTATGCTGGAGGCAATTGCCTAAAGACCACGGTATTTAAAAACTTTTAGGGGAGCAATTCGCCCCTATGTGCAACAAGTTTCAATTCCATTTTTAGAGTGGGACTATAATTGAGTCCTTAAAGATAGTTAAGGAAGTCTTTGTCTCTATAGGAAGTTTGTCATAATCTTAGATTTTGAACTTTCTTTGATTTAGAGTAGAGGGGATAACTCATCAATGATCTGTTTGAGTTGATTGCAGCTTTACAAAAAGAGCACAAAGAAAAATTTTATCTTTTTTTCTTCTAAAACAAATAAGAAAATTTCAAGCAAAATATTCTAATCCAATAAGAGCACAAAGAAAAATCTTTTTTGATCCATTATAATAATTTTCACAAACCAAATTCTTTGATTAAAAAAAACTACTTATTTCTCCAGCTGAATAGTGAATTCTACCATTGTCAGCAGCCTTCTGATCAATTATAATCTCATAAGAAATGGGATCTTATGTAATTAGACGAACAATTAATTAATACTAATAGGTTAAGAGGAGAAAGTTGAAGAAATAAAAATAGAAGAATCCATAAGAGGATTAACTTAATTAATTAAAATCGTCAAACTTTTTAAAGGTAATTAATCCTCTACTTAATCTTCTTTTTTCACCCTTTTCAAACATGATTATGCTTTAATCTCCTCATTAATTAATGAAATTATTTTCCTCATATTGTGAATCCTCTACACCACACATCTTACCAACTAAATTAACCTATTTAATTTGGAAGATGATAATGATAATAATATTTAATTCAGCACGTGCATCTAATTCGGCATCATTTGGAGAAATTCTCTTACTGCTGCTAGGCTGTATCCAGAAGAGAATCATACTGAAAGTTGGTGCCTCGCTTTACGAACATATAATTACCAGCTCGAAGATGTGATGCTTTGCTTTGACTGATGGGGATGGGAAGCATGACGTCTGCCTCATATAATTGTCCAAATTTTAAGAGAGAGAGAAGATATTTCTATGGCTATCAATTATCGGGCGACCCAACCCGATAATCAGATCAGAAAAGCCTGGATTTGGGTCGACCCGTTTAACAAATCGATAATATTTTGATTCAATTTTTTGACCAGTTTGAAAAATTTAGGTCAGATCCGAGTCAATCCGCTAACTAGAATTTGACCCGGTTTGACGCGAGTCCCGGCCTTCAGACCTCGTCAATCGCCCATTCGTGCATTCCTGATCGGCCATGCTCGCAGTGGCTCACTCGCCCGCAGAGAGTTGGGTTCCAGAGATCCATGGGCAGCCTAGCAGAAAGCTGGAGATATGAGTGTAGCACTCACACTGTTATGCACATAGCCTCGCCTGAATTTGAAGTCGAGCATTTGTGCACTCTCAGCCCCCCTCGCTCGCAGTCTCGCTCGCGCAGGCGTAGTCCCGCACGTGGCCCTCACCCACCCTTGCGCACTCCCGTGCCAAAAGTTCTGTTGGCATGCTGCGCTGCGCGCTCTCTCTCCTGATTTCAGTGTCGTGTTGGGTCAACCCAATAACCCGCACGGGTCTAGCATGGAGGCTAGTTTCTGAAACAGAGTTGGATTCGAGTCAGCTGAATTGGCACTATCTGCCCTGTCGACTATCCCGCGAGATTAACTAATACTATTAACAGTGGTATTAGATGGTCTAAATAGTAAAATTTCAATGTAAAATCTATAAATTAGATAATTTAAAAAGCTACACGTGAGAAAAAAAAGGGTAAAATGATCGATCTTGGATTTCAGAGAAGTTTCAGATCACTGGTACTCTTTCTCACGTGTCGCACCTCAATATATGCATAAGACCACGTGGCTTCCCCTTCCAAATGCTCTTCCGCATGTGTGTCAGTAACTTATTAACATTTCACTTTCATACCATTAATTCTCCTAACATATATATTTTTTTTATTATCAATAAGGCCCCATTTGGAATCATTTTCATACTACTTCTTAAAAATTTTAACGCTATAAAGTTAATTTAAAAAACAGTAAAAAAGTCAAGTCAACCGAAATCTAAGGATTTATGTGGGACGATTATTTTTTAAAGTAATTTTTTAGTAAAAAATTTAAATTTTGTACTAAAAACGTGCTTTAAGAAGAAGTGAAAAAACTGTCCCAAACGAAGCCTAAGACTTCATTCGGGACAGCTTTCTAAATTCTTTGTAAAGCAGCTTCTTCGTACAAAAATTTCTAGTTAAAAAAATTTTTATATTAAAATCTGCTTTAGAAAATAATAAGAAAACTGTTAGTATAGAAGCTGTAAGATAGGAATTTTTATTGCGTCCTCCCACCTGACGTAGAGATACGTCATCGCAGACTAAAATCGCGCTAAAAACGAGAAATACCGAGCAATACCAAACAATAACGATGAATATCATCATGTGAAGACCAATACCGAGTTATACCGAGCTATACCGAGCAATACAAAAAAATACATAATTTTTCCTAGAAAAAATTCGGTATTTTTTTGTATTGCTCGGTATAACTTGGAATTGGTCTTCACATGATGATATTCCTCGTTTTTATCAAATAATACGTAGCAATACCGAGCAAAAACCGAGTTTTTTGACGGTGGGAGGACGTATCTCTACGTCAGGTGGGAGGACGCAATAAAAATTCGTAAGATAGCCGCTCCAAACGAAGCCTAAGTTTTAGGTTTCATATGAGATAACTTTCTTACTAATTTATTAAGCAATTTTTAAGTATAATTTTTTTGAGTAATAATCTTTTATACTAAATACTGTATTAAGAAACAATAAAAAAATAATCCCAACTGAAGCTTTACATTCCATTAAAATTTCACTTCAACTGCTTTCTTAAAGAAATCCACCGCAGGTTTTGGAAATAAATTTTTTTTTTTTTTCACTAGAATATCACAGTCAACTTAAATGTCTTTTTTTTATTCCTCACCTAATGATACATTGCTGAAAATTTCACATTTTATTTTATTATTTGACTGCTTTGATTTTTAATGCTTTTTAACTAATTAATTAAGCCAAGTCAATCTCTAATAAATAACTTAATTTATGGGTTAAATTTCAAAATAATCCCCTACTATTCTAATATAATTATTTTAATCCAAAAGCATAACATTGCTCAATTTTATGTCACAATTATAACATGAAGATTTATTTTGGATTAATTTTATATAATGAAGGGACTAAATTGTAATATTATGATATTCTGAGATTAAATTGATCATATATAAATAGTTTGACGGTTATTTTGAAAAAATTTCTCATTTAAATAATTAATGTAATAACAGAAGCTAATTAAGGCATCATTATCGTTAACAATAAGATTCGTCTATTTTTCCAGTTAATGTGAGCATCAGTCATCACATCTTTAAGGACTGGGTAGGAGCAAGTCCATGTCTTTTCCCCTATTTTATATTCCATAAAATAATTTTAGTAAAATAAATAAATAAAAAAATTATTTTTTAAAACAATTTTTTAATAAAAAATAAATAACTAATTGAAAAAAATATATATATACTAAGATGTTACATAAGAAAGCAGTAAGAAAGCTGTTCCAAACGAAGCCTAAGATTATCATTACGAAGAAGCCTTGCAACCAGATTGAGTTGTCAAAAATTTTAAATTTATATTGAGATTAAAATAATTTAAGATATTATGTACATCTCTTCTTTAATCTCAATGTAAATTCAAAAATTTTGAAATATATTACCGTTGAAGCAGTTTTGTTTTTCCAATCTCTAATAGTATTGCCAGAGGAGAGGATCGTCGGCTTCAGGCAGAACCCAAGACCTCCAGTCGAGGAGGAGGTCGGGTAAGTCGAAGAGCGAGTCGTCATTACCGTTGGATGAAGAAGTAGTGTTTGGGGAGCGTTGGGGCTGCAGTGTGGAATGAGTAGTGTAAGTGGTGGCGGCAGCTTTTGCGGCAGCAGCTTGAATGTCTTTGGGGGTGGTGGTGGCGGGGCGGGGGAGTTCAGCGGCGAGTTCTGGAAAATTGAGATAGGCGGATTGGCCTTTGATGGTGAGGGCAGCGACATCGTGGGCGCGAGCGGCCATTTCTGCGGTGGGGAAAGTGCCTAACCAGATTCGAGATTTCTTCCGAGGTTCGCGGATTTCTGAGACCCATTTTCCCCAATTGCGCATACGAACGCCGCGGTATGAAGGGGGTTCTTTGGCGTCTTTGCTGCGTTTCTTGGACTCAGTGGGGGTGGCAGGGGAGGTGGAAGAGGTGGAGGTGAAAGAAAAGGAGGGTGAAGAAGAAGAGGAGGGTGAAGAAGAAGAAGAGGAGGAGGAAGAGGTGATGATGAGATCAGAAGGGTGGGGGAGGGGTTCTTCCATGAGGAAATAAGAATGGAGGTGGAGGAAGGAGAAGTGGTTGGAGATACTGTCAATGGGGGCTTTTAAGACAGAGCTAAATAGATGGGAAGAAGGTGAGGGGGAAGAGTGGAGGAGAAATTAAAGAAGGGGTAGGGCCCTCGAAATAAGGGGAAAAAAAGTTTGTCTGTGCATTCTATAATTACTAAAAGATTGTTGAGCAATATTTACTTAATTGAATTCGATTGGACTTTGGCATCATCTTTTCACATCTTTTCAAATTGAAAATTTTGGAGGAGTTTTAAATTATTTCATGTTTTTTTTTTTTAAGGTTAAATAAATTGAATTCGATTGGACTTTGGCTTCTTTATTACTTTTAAAATAGATTTTTAGTATAAAAATATTTTAAACTAAAAAAATTTGTACTAAAAAATTATTTTAGAAAGAAGGAAGAAAGTTGTCCGAAATGAAGTCTAAATCTCTATGAAGACCCTTGTTAACCCATCACTTTTAATTGATATTAAAGTATTTTGATGATCAAATTTATTTTCCAAATATAGCATAGATTTATTTTACTAAGATTAGAAGATTTTGTAATTAATAAAAATTGATCTCATAATCATACTATCTAATATAAATTGTATTATAAGATATCCTTATTTTGGTATAATTATAATATTATTAATTTTTATTGATTAAGATAGTTTAAAATTTAAACTAATTATAATTGATATGTCATCAAAAATTTATCTTGATTAAGAGCAAATCTCGAGCCAAAACAAAGTTGGAAACTTTGGAAATTCAATTTGGGACCATCTGAACTCCAATTTAAGCAAATTTATAGTCAAACTGAATGTCTCGAAAAGATGAACCCAACGACACCAAAGTCGACTCAATTCGAGCCCAAATGGGACTAAATCGAAGACCCGAAGATCATTTCGAAGGTTCAAACTATAAATTGGATGACCAAACGTACGGTTTCTAAACATTACATGCTTATAGTCGAATCTTGCGTCTCGATGAGATAAATTAGCTCAAGATCATTGAATTATGACATCATTAAGGCAATCAAATACTCGATAAATGCTCTATAATCAAAGGAGTTGCCACCAACTAACACCTGACTTTTGCCCGGCTATCGACTATTATTAGACTCCCCCCCACCCAAACAACTATAGCTAGACAACGGTCTTTCTAACTAATGTTGCCCACCGACTACAGTCCTTCTGACCACCGTCGTCAGATTACAGTTCTTCCGACCTCCATCTCCATACAACTTGTCTTTCTGACCAATGTTATATGCTGACTATGATCCTTCCGACCTTCATCGCTAGACTATAGTTCTTCCGACCTCCATCGTCAGACAACAGTCTTTCTAACCATTGTCTCCTACTATGATCCTTCCGACCTCCATTGACAAACTATGATTCTTCTGACTCCATCAGTAGAAAATAATCTTTTTGACCACTGACGCTCACCGACTACGATCCTACTGACCTTCGTCTCCAAACAACAGACTTTTTGACCACTGTCACCAACTGATTAAAGTCTTTTCGATCTCTGTCACCAGACTACGGTCCTAATGATGTTCATCTCCACAAAATAGTGTTTTTGACTATAGTCGCTCGATTATTATGGTCCTTCCGAGTTCTGTCGCAAGACTATGATCCTTCCAACTTCTATCGCTAGACAATGATCTTTTTGACCACTGTAGCCAGACGACGATATTCCTTTCTACGTCCGTCGCCAAACTAAAATTCTTCGGACATCTTTGGCCAGACAACAACCTTTATGACCACTTTCGCTCACCAACTATGGTCCTTCCGGCCTCCATTGACATACTACGATCCTTCCAACTTCTGTCACCAGATAATGGTCTTTTAAATCACTGTCGCCTACCGACTACGGTCGTTTCGACTACAGTCGCCAAACTACATTTCATGGCCAGAAAACGACCTCTATTGTTAGACAATGATTTTTTTGACCACTGTCGGCTGCCTACTACGGTCTTTTCAACCTCCATCACCAGACTACAGTCCTTCCTAACTCCGTTGCCAGACAATGATCTTTCAGATCACTGTCGCCTGCTGACTACATCCTTCTAACTTACATCGCTAGACTACGATTCTTCTAACCTCCGTTGCTAGACAATGGTCATTTCGACCTCCGTTATTGGCCAACTAAGATCCTTTCGACTATCGTCACCCGACTACGATCTTTTTGACCTCCATCACCCGCCGACTATGATCCTCCCGACCAAATAAACATGTCAATACTGATTCTTTTAATTCCCACCATGCAATGCACTCTATATGATGTATATTTATTACATCGAGCTAAGGACTTCTCCTTAAAGATGGGCCTCATTTGTAATCGACTATAAAAAGTAATGGATTAATTTAATTGGCAAAGCCCCGTGGTTTTCCCCCTTATTTCAGGGGTTTCCACATAAAAATTATGGTATCTCTTATGAATGATACATTCTCTTTTTTATTTGATTGTGTGCTGGATCTTCGTACAAAGCTAAGATATTAAACTTTATACTTATCTATCACCGTGAATATTCCAGGACACAAAACTATTATATGATATACATATATTATACAATACCATAATTTTCTCCATCTAAACGATAACTTTAGTTACCTTAACTATTTTAAATCAATATTTAAACTAATCCAAATATAAAATATATATTGTACCATATGATCAAATTTCAGAATTAATATAACCAAGCAACTAGTTTTACTAGATGATGTAGGCTTCGTTTGGGATGGCTTTCTTATTGCATCTTAAAGTAAATTTTTAGTATAAAAATTAAAAATTTTGTACTAGAAAGAAGCTTTAAGAAGCAATAATAAAGTCATGCCAAACAAAGCCTTAATAAGGATTTGGTTGAAGTAATCATATTATAGGAATAAAAATAATCTTTTTTGACAAAGTTAAGGTTATTATGCTACTTACTTAGTATAGAAGACTTTTTTTAAATCTTAAATGTGAGAGACGAGTGATAGGGAGAGAACATGGAGAAGAGATATTTTCTTAAAGAAGTTTATTTGAGCCTACATTAGCAAACTCTAAAATAGTTTTCGTAGGAGACATTGTGCTCATTAGTTAGAGACCTCTTGTTTAAAAAAAAAATAATTAAAATAATTTTAAAAAATTTTAAAAAAAAAGTGCCCATTAGTTAGAGACCTCTTATTTATACCTTATGATCCTCATAGTTTAAAAATATGACTATTTTGAGAGCTATTATTTTATATTTATAAGAGAGCTTCAATCCATAAAGTATGGTCGGACATCATCCATCAAATAAATTTGAATTCAACATCCTCTTAGGTGCGGTGAGTGTGGATATGATGTTAAAAGTCAAAAAACTTCTACCCACCGAGCAACCGGAGACCTCCGTGAACATGATGAACCTTGAATATTTCACTCATCATGAGCTATAAGAAATGGATGACTGACTTCTAAAGTCCATCTAAGATGCTCTCGCAATTGTTAGCAACCAAGCACGAACTGCCTATGTACCCAAAAGACTATCTGATCCAAACACTCATCCTGAGATGCGAAAGAAGTACACACTTTTGATTTGGTTAACAGCCACACTCGCACCCAGGCAAGAGATGAAAATTCCAGCTCGCCTCCTAGGCGAGCCAAAGGAAGTGAATCACAGCCGACCAACACCTTCTCTAGATCATTCTTCGAGGCCACAATGCATCTTAAGCTCAAGATGCCTCACCTGGCGGCCTACCGAGGTAAGACCGACCCCACGAACCTCGTGGCTACTTTTAAGTCCAAGACCTCTCTACGTGTCATCGACAATGCCCTCCAATAATGTCTCATCTTCACCACCTTCACCATCTCCAATTCTCAAAAATATAAATCAATGTTACATAAAGATTGATAGTTCATCAATTATCATTACTTCTAATAACTTGATTGCAAATATCAATATCTTAATACATCCAAGGGTTCTATAAATAAGCAGTCTTATTTTTAAGTCACATATAATCCTAGTCTATATGTTGTCAACACACTTCCAACATGATCACCAAAGATTTTTCTTAGAACTTTTACATAAATCTTCAAATTCTTGCTTTATCTTCTAACAAGCAGTCCTCTATTTTATTACAAGAATGAAACTTCTACTAGCTATAGGTCAACTTACTTAAATGAGTTCAGTGATATTAATGTTAGCTTTGACATTAGACATCATAAAAATGTTTAAACCAGATATCAATATCAAGCTGAGAATTATGCTTCATTTTTATTGCTTGAAATATACATGCACATTTATATCAGTTAGAATATAAATTAAAAAAGGGAGAAAATATATCACAGAAACTATTGGAAAATTTAAGTCTTTGTTTGAGACGACTTTCTTACTGCTTCTTAAAATAATTTTTTAATATAATAATTAAAATTTTTATACTAAAAAATTATTTTAAAAAGCTATAAAAAAGTCGTCCCAAACGAAGCCTAAATCAATAAATTCTCAGCCAACTACATTAAGAACAACAAAAAAGTCACTCATCCACTGCCTCATTAAATTTTTCACTATTATGACAATATGTAAATTACTGACCAAAAGTGACTCGAGTATTTCTCTAGAAATCTCTTCTTTAATAAAAGATGTAAAAAAAGATTTTATAAAGCATCTACATGAAGATAAAGCATCTTTAAAAAATATCGTTCGACACACCTGATCATCATCACTAGATCATCATCGGCCATCTGTCATCTTTCTACCACCATCGACCAATTGTGATAGCTTGTCTACCATCATTCGATCACTATCGCTCAACCATTATTGCTCGTTAGTAGGGGTGTCAATATTTGTCACGAATCGAAAATTTTGGGTTAGGGTTAACCCGGAATTGAAACGGGTCGGGCTTGGGTTCAACAAATCAACCCATTTCAAAATTCAGGTCGGATTCGGATTGACCCGAAGACCCGAGAATGACCCATTTTTTAGGCTTTCCACAAAACTCTTTGGAGTATCCTATGAATTTTTCTCATATTTATGTCTAGACGTTAGATTTTCATACAAAATTACATAAAACTCTCTTTCTACATTTAAA